GGTGATGGGAGGGGCTTCGGGGGCGGAGGAACCCGTCCCGGCCACGCGGCCGTGGTCCCGGACTCGGCGCTCCAATCCCGGGGCCTTGCCGGGTCTGCGCACCCCCCTCCGGCCGCACACAGCGTGGCTCCCCGTGCTTGTCCCCGAGAGCGCCCCGAGTCCCCCAACCCCGAGGGGCGCCTCGGACACGCCCGCATCCGCCTGGGAGTCTCTGCCGCCTTGACGGGTCGGCGTGTGTGGCCGTTTCCTTGAAAACAGGCGGAAGGAAGTCCGGAACAAATGAGCTCATTTTCGGGCGCGGACGTCGTCAAGTGACAACAGGAAACTCGTTTCCGGGGGGTGGGGGGGGTGGGGGGGGAAGCCCATTGCCACGTGCAGCCCGGCCTCCGCTTCTCAGTCACCTGGGTTTTCGGGGGACGGGACTGCCCCCTCTGGCTTGGCCGCGCTGGACTTGCCTCGCCCGGGCCCCAAACCCCAGGCACCGCAGCGTCTCGGCCACGTGCTTCCGGCAGGGGGACACGCACAGGATCACCAGCAGCTTCGCGTCGCCACCTTTATGACAGGACGGAGCAGCAGGTGGAAAGGACCCCGAGGAAAGACGGCGTCTCTACACGACTTGAGGCCGCGTGGGGTTGGGGCACCGCCGGCAGGGATGCGGGCCCGGCCCCCAGCGGTGGCGGGGCCGAGTCCCTCCTGCTGGGGGCGCGGGCCACGGGTCCGGCCTTGCAGGGCGGGGCACCCTCCCCGAGCCCCAGCACCCAGGTCCCCGCAGAAGCTGCCTCGCTTTTCGGACGACGGGGAAGGCTGAGCAGCACTGAAGGAACAGCAAAGACCAGGGGGAACGGGGAGCCGAGGAACGACCGAGAAATGCTGTGGGAGGGACGACGGTGACCCGGGGAGCCAGGAAGTCCCCCAGGGGGACATGTCCAGGGGGAGCGGGTGTGCCCGGGGCAGGGACAGGGCGGTAGGACACCTCCCCGGGTCGCGTCCCGGGGGAGTTCCCTTACCGAGAACGTCCTGGAGAAAGTGGGTAAGCTTGCTGTTCCGGTACGGGACGTGGCCTCGACGCTCCGCCAGGGCCCCCAGGACATCCGCGAGGGCCGCCAGGCTCCGGTTGATGAACGAAGTCTCCCTCAGGGCCGATCCTGTCACTCCAGACACACCTGGGCAAGTGCAAAGACCCGGCCACACAGGATGTGCAACAAAGTCTTTAACAATGTCAAGGAACGAGCCAGGAAGAGCAAAACCGGGACGTCTCAGGGCGCGTGCGCTGCGTGGGGGGCACACCGGCCGGGGAGACCCCCAGTGCACCTCACCAGGAACAGGTGGGCAAGAGCCGCGGAGAACAGCACGGCTTGGGGGTTCTCACATCTGGGGGCAGTGGTGAGACCGCGCCCACGGCGGGACGGGAGAGAAGACAGCAGAAGGGAACAGTGCCCGGCACCCACGGCCCGCGCATCCCGCTGGCCCCAGGGAGGTGCCTGCCCTGCGCTCACCCACACACTCGCTGCCTGCCAGGTCCACGAGCTGAAGCTTGGCGTGCACCTGCTCCGCGGGTCGCTGGGCCCCCAGGGCCCCGGGCCAGGCTCTGCCCCCCGACGCGCTCCGCCTGCTCCCCTCGGGCTGCGGCCCGTTGGCCTGCTGCTCGGCTGCACGGGGCTGATGCGCACCTAGGAGGGGGGGTCCACGAAGCCTCCCTCAGTGGCGCTGTGGAGCGGGACCTCTGCCCAGAGCGCCAACCCCGGAGAGGAACTCACTCCCCCTGCAGGCGGGCAGGGCCGCGGCGGGGAGGGGCTTCCAGAGGGAGGCCACCGCTGCGGAAGCTGGGGCTCGTGCCCACCTCGTCCCACGAACAGAGTGACATTGTTGGAAGTGTTCGGTCACGACAGTGATTAAAACCCAGTCCGAAAAGCCCGTGAGCCCCACCGTTTGTCTCCGAATCCTCCTGAGAAATCCCGACAGACCCGTGCCTCCCTCTGGGGTGTGTGTCCGTCTCATCGCGTGCTATTCCCAAGACGGCTTCTTCAAGAGAGTTTTTAAAAAACCTAAGTAGTGTATGCTCACCGTGGAAAACATTAAAAATACACAGAATGGGACAAGAACGAACACAAAAGCCACCCTGGTCTCCGCTGCGTTTCCACTTGTGGAGACCGACCGTGGGCTCCCGGACAGAGGTCCCCTCCCTGCGGGCGAGCCCATCCTTGGACCAGTCAGGCCCAGCTCGGGGGCGCAGGGCGGGAGCAGGCCGCCCACACCGGCCTGCAGGCAGGGTGAGCGTTGACCCGCTGGCACCGGGCGTCGGTGTCGCCGCCGTGTGAAGTTGGGCCCTGCCCCAGCCGTCCTCCGCGGGTGAGCTCTGGCTCCGTGAGCTGGCAGAAGTCGGGCTCCTCGGGCTCCGTCCTTCCCAGCCTCGGGGCCTGATGGCCGGGCAGCGCCCCGGTGCTGGGAGGGTCGTGCGGGCGGCCCGTGTGCGCGGCCCTGGTCCTCGTCCTCACCGAGACACAGACCCTGGCAACTCGGGTTTGCGACCTTCTAAGCCCACATCGCATCTGCAGTCTCACAGGTGACGTGTGCACCGCGTGCCCAGATGCAAACACGCCCGCTCCTGGTTAACGAAGAACCCCCCCCACCCCCCATCCCCTTTCCCCCCAGCCTGGTTCCAG